AAAAAAAAAAAAATCTCAAAAAATAAAAAAGTAGACACATCATAGGTCACTGGGGACAGAAACCATATGACTCTAAGGAATATGCAAAGAAGGCACACAGACATCAGCAAAATGGAAAAAACTTCACTTCCCACAAAAATGTGGAAGATATAAAAATTATGGTAATAAATAAAATTAAATAAAAAAGAAAAAAATGTGGGAAGAGGCGTAAGATTGCAAAGTGGAGTTGGACCTTTAAAGTGCAAGATATATTGGAAAACTTGATTATCACAATTTATCCCAATTACATGAAGAAACATGTACTGGAGAGAAAATCTATGAGTATCTCCCATGTGGGGAAGGCTTTACTTTTCTCAGATCTATTCAAAACCATGAAAGAACTCACATAGGAGAGAAACCTTATGAGTGTAAGGTATGTGAGAAAGCCTTTGGTGTCTCAGTTATGTAAGAGACTATGAAAGAATTCACACTGGGGTGAAACCTTATGAATGTAAAGAATGTTGAAAAGCCTTTAGTTGTACTAGTTCTGTTTGAAACCATGGAAGAACTCACACAGGAGAGAAACCCTATGAATGTGAGGAATGTGGAAAGGCCTTTAGTCATCTCAGTTCTGTAAAAAAAAAAAAAAAATCACACTGGAGTGAAACCCTATGAATGTAAGGAATCTGGGAAATTCTTTAGTCATTCCAGGTCTCTTGGATGCCATGAAAGAATTCAAACTGGAGTGAAACCCTATGAATGTAAGGAATGTTGGAAAGCCTTCAGGTATCTGTCTTCTTTTTGTATTCACGAACGAACTTATATAGGCGAGACACCCTATGGGGACCTACAGGTGGCATGGTGGTTAAGGGCATTGGACTCTCACATGGCTGACTGCGTTTTGAGTCCTGGACTGGGCGACTTACCTTCTCACTTTATCTCTCTCTCTCTCTGTCCTTCTCTGGTCAAATTAAAATAAACAAAGTTAAATAAAATAATTCTAAAAATAAACCCTATGATTGTAAGGAATGTAGGAAAGCTTTTATTTATTCCAGTTCCTTTTGTATTCATGAAAGAATGCAGGGGACCAGCAGGTGGTATGGTGGTTAAGGCACTGGACACTCCCATATGGCTGACCACGGTTCAAGTCCTGGATCTGGTGGCTTGCTTTCTCATTTTCCTTCTCTTTCTCTCTGTGTCTCTCTCTGGTCAAATCAAAATAAAATGAAATGAATAAAAGTAAATTAAAAAAAAATTTTTTTAAAAAGAATTCACACAGGAGAAAAACCCTATGAATGTAAAGAATGTGGGAAAGCCTTCAGTTGTCCTAGTTACTTTCATCTCCATGAAAGAAGTCACACAAGAGAGAAACCCTATGAATATATGCAATGTAGGAAAGCCGTTAGTCAATCCAGTTCTCTGTGTAAGCATGACAGAATTCACACAGGAGAGAAACTCTACCAGTGTAAGCACTGTGGGAGAGCCTTCTCTCATTCCTCATTCTTACAAAAACATGAAAAAAGACACAGGAGACAAATGCTGTCAATGTAAGTTATGTGGTCAAGTCGCCTCTCTTTCTGCTCTGTTTCATAATCATCAGAGAACTCACGGTGGATAGAAACCCAATGAATATAAGCAGTGTGGGAAAACCTTCTCTTGCCCTGGTCACAGGCAATACTTGTCAGAACACTGGAGAGGAGTCCCAGTAGAGTAGAAAATGTGGAAAAGCCTTTTCAAAAGAGTAGTTTTAAAAAACATGAAAAATCTCTCAAAGAAACCATAGAAATATAAGCAATGTGAGAGTGTCTTCTCTACTTTTACATAAATGGAAGAACTCACACAAGAAAGACACCCTCTGCGTGTAAGCAATATGGGAAAGTCTTCTCTCATTCCAGTTGTTTTTGAAGGCATAAAAGAACTTTCTGGAGACAAACCCATAGGTGTATGAAATGTGAGAAATTATTTGCTAAAAAAATGTATTTCCTTATCTCTCAGATTTTTAGACACATGATAACACTTCCTGGAGACAGACCATGTAAATGTTATGTATGTGAGAGAGCCTTCGATTACCCATAGTTTTGTTCAAACACATGAAAGAACTCATACCAGGAGGAACCCATGTTAATGTATATAATGTGTTGTGGCACACAGTAATGGTTTATGACCTGTTGATGATAACATATATAGTATTCTCAAGTGGACTGGTCTGAGTTGTATTTCATGTTAGGTAAATTCTCTTTATAAGCCAAATGATGTATAGCGATTGAGTGTATAAAATAATAATAATAATACAATTTAAAAATGTAAAAAAAAAAGTTGTGACTGGGCCAACAGGTGGCACGGTGGCTAAAGATATTGGGCTTCTAAATGGCTGACCACAGTTCAAGTCCCAGACCTGAGAGCTTGATTTCTCACTTTCCCTCTTTCTCGGTCCATCTCTGGTCAAACTAAAATAAATAAGTAATAAATAAATAAATAAAGTTAAATAAAATAATTCTTAAAAAAAAAGTTGGGGTCAGCAGATGGCATAATGGTTATGTCACTGGACTCTCACATAGTCGACCACGCTTTGAGTCCCAGACCCAGTGGCTTAAAATTCAGGCTGGGCACATGTGTGTGCATGTCCAAAATCCTGAGGAGAATGGAGGAAAAGGGACTGTGGTATGCCATCCCCTCTGGGGGAGGGGGAGTGATTTCTCATTTTCTTTTTCTCTGTCTCTCCAGTGAGCACACATGCCCTGTAGCAAAAATATCTAATAAAATGCTTTTTAAAAGTTAATATAAACTAATATTTACTGGAGGCCAGCATGGCTGATCATGGTTCGGGTCCCAGACCTGGTGGCTTGAAAATCATCAGGTCCATGTGCATGTGTGCCCAAGATCCTGGGAGCAGAATGGAGAAGGGATTGTGGCATGGTCATCCCCCCAGAAGGTGAGTTCTCACCTTCCCTCTCACTGTCTCTGTCTCTCTCTTTCTCCAGTGAGTACACATGCTCTAAGACAAAAACTTCTAAAAAAAAGTTAATATAAACTAACATTTATTAAGCACTGACTTATGCCCTTCAGTGCCCTAGGTGTTACTACATTTAGTTACCATAACTATCTATGGATAGAAACTATTATTTCCCACACACACACACTTTTTTTTTTTTTTTTTGAGAGATTTTCACTGTAGGGCGCGTGCGCTCGCCAGACAGACAGAGAGAGACATAGAGACAGAAAGAGAGAAATCACCCCCCAGGGGGGATGGTCACGCCGCAATCCCTTCTCCTCCATTCTCCTCTCGGGATCTTGGGCACGCACGCACACGCGCCCGGCATGAGTTTTTTAAGCCACCGGGTCTGGGACACGAACTGCGGTCGACTACGTGGGAGTCCAGCGACATACCCATTACGTTAACTGCTGGTTCCCCACACACACTTTTTAAAAAATAATTATTTTTAGGGACCAGCAGATGGCATAATTGTTATGTCACTGGACTCCCATGTAGTTGACCAGCGTTTGAGTCCTGGACCCGGCAACTTAAACAAACTGGGTACGTGTGTGTGTGTGCCCAAGATTCCTGAGAGGAGAATGGAGGAGAAGGGATTGTGGCATGGCCATACCCCCCGGGGGGGTGATTTCTCACTCTCTGTCTCTCTGTCTTTCCAGTGAGTGCACATGCCCTATAGCAAAAATTTCTCAAAAATTATTTTATGTATTTATTTATTTTAAAGAATTATTTTATTTAACTTTATTTATTATCATTATTATCATTATTATTTTCCAGTTTGATCAGAGAGAGAGGAAGTGAGAAAGCAAGCCACCAGGTCCAAGATTTGAACCGTGGTCGGCCATGTGGGAGTCCAGCGCCCCTATCTACCATGCCACCAGCCGGCCCCTAGTTATTTATTTTAATTTGACCAGAGAGGGGCAGAGAGAGAGAGAGAAAGAGAGAGGGAAAGTGAGAAAGCAAGCTGCCAGCTCCAGGACTTGATTGACTTAGGCCATGTGGGAGTCCAACGCCCTTAACCACCATACCACTTGCCAGCCCCTATTTCCCCCTTTTTATAGAAGAAAAAGTTGAGACTCAAGAGAGATTAAGTGACCTATCGGAACCAGTACTTGGAATAATGGTTACGTCACCATATTGCCATGCAGTAGACCGCAGTTCGAGAGACAGAAAGTAAGAAATCACCCCTTAAGGAAGATGGCCACACCACAGTCCCTTCGCCTCCATTCTCCTCTCAGGATCTTGGGCACACACACACACATGCCCAGTGTGAGTTTAAGCCACCGGGTCCTGGATTTGAACCACAGCCAACTACATGAGAGTCCAGCGATGTAGCCATTATGCCATCTGCTGGTCCCCCTCAACCCTTTTAAGATGGCCTATGAAAGAACAGTTGAGTTTTCTCCATTCCCCAATCCCCTAGCCAGTCTTCCACAGGGCATTATCTAAAGGTGGCCCTACCAAGTGGCCACCCCATGGAAAATCATAATGGAAAAGAAACCTGGTAGCAGGAAGATGAGGCAGGGAAAGGCTCCTGCTCTTTTTTTTCTTTTTTTTTTTTATAAAGAACTATTTTACTGGGGCTGGCAGGTGGTGTGGTGGTTAAGGGCACTGGACTACCACATGGCTGACTGTTGTGGTTCAAGTCTGTGACCTGGCAGCTTGCTTTCTCACTTTTCTTCTCTCTCTTTTACTCTGTCCCTCTCTGGCCAAATTAAAATAAATAAGTAAATAAACAAAGTTAAATAAAAAATAATTATTTTATTTATTGACTAGAGAGGGACAGGGGGTGGGGGTGAGTGAGAAAGCAAGCCACCAGGTCCAGGACACAAACCACAGTTAACCATGCAGGAGTCCAGTGCCCTTAACCACAACACCACCTGCTGGACCTGAGGCTCCTGCTCTTGTCAAGTGCTAACTCCTGGGCTCAGTTTGCAAGTCTTTTCGCCAGCAGCTTCCTCCAACAGTTCTCATCTTCATTTCAGTCTTTCTTCTTGCCCTTCCCTACTTTTAAGATTTTCCTGGGGAGCCAAAGAAATAGATATTATGGAAAAATACAATACCTTAAACTACAGGATCTTGTAAGTCAGTCTGTTCTGACTGCACTTACTGCTTAACTTTGGTTTCATTATATTAAGACTTTGTGAGATTAGCAGATGGCATAGTGGTTACATCACTGGACTCCCATATAGTTGACCGTGGTTCGAGTCCCAGACCCAGTGATTTAAAACTCACGCTGGGCGCATGTGCATGCATGCTGAAGATCTTGAGAGGAGAATAGAGGAGAAGGGATTGTGGTGTGGCCATCCCCTGGAGGATTTCTTGCTTTCTGCCTCTCTGGTGTGCGCATGTGCCCCACAGCAAAAATCTCTCAAAACAAAACAAAACTTTGTTCATGATTTCTGAAAAGGGGTCCAGGAATTGACTAAAATTTGCATAGAAAGTATTTCCTTTCTTGTGAGTATGCCTCCCTCACATATGCACTTAACTTTTTGTATTGATCAGGGAACTTTCCCCACATGAATAACTAGACCAGAAGCTCTGTACCTGTCAGGCAGAAGATATCCATATTTCTTACTAACCATGGCGAGTTCTGCCCTCAGGGCACCTGGGTATTCACTTCCTCCAGACCGGGTCACCAGTACCCAGTGACAGCAATACAGGGTTTTATTCACAATAGTGAAATCTCTATTTAGGGTGTTTACATAGCACCTCTATATTGCCCATCTGCTTCCAGAGACTAGGAATAGTCTGTTTCTTCCCTTTTCTCTTGCCATGGGCAAACAACCACAAGCTTAGTAGCAAATTCAAGTTCTTTTCCTTAGTCAGCTGCAGAGCTGGGGATCTTCTATCAGAGTGAATTCCAAAATACACATGGACAAGGCACTTGAATACACAGAAGTAAGAACAGACTTATTACAAAAGTATGACACCTTGAACACTCAGGACTCCCTCAAGGATAAGGAACTAGTTCCTACAACATAGTGAAACTAAGCATGCTCATTCCTATAAGATAATCAGATTAACTTCTATCGATTGTTGGAATAACATCTTTTCTATTAATAAAGTTTAACAAATGGGTGATTTCAGGTCAATATTTTGTCTATACTTTCCTGGCTTCAATTCTCCTTTGAATGCTGAATACAGGAGATTGCAGACAGAACGATGACTATCTCTGGAGTGACCACTAACAAGGTCAGAGCTCTAACCCATATCCTTGACCTCTTTTTCTTTCTCTGCTTCCCAGAATTCTGCTTTGCCCTTTCTGAGATCAGAACTCTCCTTCCCTGGTCAATCAGCAGCGCTGGGTTGCAGAAGTTGGGGAGATGTTTCATGGCTGGAAGACTGTCCCTTGTCTTCCTAAATTTGCTCTCTCCACTGTAATAGTTGTAACTGGGCAAATGGCCATCCTGCTAGCAGTGTTTTCTAGCCTCCCTGGAAGACAGATGTAGCTATATAATCAAGTTCTCACCAAAGGATTGGGCTGCCTTCTATGACACCTGGTGGAAGGGGAAAAATCACTTGTCCCAGGACCAGTTGTTGTAATGGCTATGTCGCTGGATTCCCATGTAGTCGACTGCGGTTCGAGTCCCAGACCTGGTGGCTTAAACTCACACTGTGTGTGTGCATGCGTGCCCAAGATCCCGAGAGGAGAATGGAGGAGAAGGGATTGCGGCATGGCCATCCCCCCGCGGTAGGTGATTTCTCGCTTCCTATTTCTCTCTGTCTTTCTGGCAAGTGCACACACCCTATAGCAAAAACCTCTCCAAAAAAAAAAAAAAAAAAATTACTTGTCCTTGTAACTATTATATAGTACTTCAGTTTTCCTGTGAGCTGGAATATAGATATAGTAATGGTCCAGCTTAAATCATGCAAACAAAAACATCTTAGCCTATAGGGTTGGAAGAGCAAGGTGGAAAGTACATACACTCCTGACATATTTGGTAGACCTAAACTAAGCTGCCCCCAGACCAGAGTTTGGGACACTTTCTGTAAAGGGCCAGATATTACATATTTAAGGTTTTGTAAACCATATAGTCTCGGGACCAGCAGGTGGGCATGGTGCTTAAGGTATTGGACACTCCTACATGGTTGATCACAGTTCGAGTCCCAGACCTGGTGGCTTCTTTCTCACTTTCTCTCTCTCTTGTCCAATTAAAATAAATAAATGAAGCAATAAAATTAAGTAAATAATTCTTATAAAAAATATACAGTCTCTGTCACATATTATGTTTTTTAAGAATGCTTGAAAAAAATGTAAAACCCATTCTTAAACTTGTGGACCATATAAAAACAGGCCTTCAGCCTTAGATTTGGCCTCTGGGCTGTAGTACGCTGACTGCCTGCTTACTTTTGGGCATTTGTCTGAAAGAGGAATAAACTTGTTAATCAGGGAAGCTTTCTCTGAGGAGGCAATGTTTAATTAGAGATCGAGATAATGGGGGTGACTTAATGTAATTAGCTGGATGAAAGCATGAAGGCAGGACGGTGGAGGTTAAGGACTGACATTCTTAGGTGTAAATGAGCTTGAAATATGGGCCAGTTTTCAACTGATGGCTTTCTAGCTCCAAATCTACCCTTCTTTGATCTACTTTGAACCGGAAATGGTCTCGTGGACATTTCCCCTTCACAACTGGCAGTGCTAGGCTTTGCCAGTAAAGGGCACTGGAGAACAAAGCAAAGAGGAAGGAGCTCCCTCTAGTTCTGTTTTTTAAAATTTTTGTCATAGGGTGTGCATACTTGCTGGTGAGAGAGACAGATAAAGTGAAAAATGTCCTCTGGAGGGGTTGGGGAGGGACTACCATACTATAATCCCTTCTCCTCCAGTCTCCTCTCAATTCTGGGCACACACACACGTGTGCCTGGTGTGACTTTTAAGGTACTTGGTCCGGGACTTGAACCATGGAGTCGGCCGTGTGGGATCCAGCACCTTGACCACTACACCACCTGCCAGCTCTCTAGTTCCATTTTTTTTTCCATCTTGCTCTTACCACAGAACTGTCAGTGGTGTGCGGAGGACCTAGCAGCATCTCATTTGCACCTCAACTAGTGGCTCAGGGGCCTTGGCCTGTAGCACCTCACTGAACCTTACCATTCCCTAGGTCACAGCCAGTGATATTGGTAAATATTTAATAAGGAGCTGGGGCCAATAGGTGGCATGGTGGTTAAGGGTACTGGACTCCCACATGGCTGACTATGGTTTAAGTCCTGGACCTGGTAGCTTGCTTTCTCACTTTCCCTCTCTCTCTCTGGTCAAATTTAAATAAACAAAGAAAGAAAGTAAAATAAAATAATTCTTAAAAAAAGAATTGCTGGACTCCCATGTAGTCGACTGCAGTTCGAGTCCTGGACCTCGTGGCTTAAACTCATGCCTGAGAGGAGAATGCAGGAGAAGGGATTGCGGCATGGCCATTCCCCTGGGGGGTTATTTCTCACTTTCTGTCTCTCTGTGTCTTTCTGGCAAATAATAATAATAATAATAATAATAATAATAAGAAGAAGAAGCTCAAAAACAAAATAAATCTCTCATTTGTTGCACCTTCTGATTTCCATGGTGTGAATACTACTATGGCTAATTTCAGTGCAGATTTAGGAAGAGAAATGAAAAAGTGGCTATAAGCCTGTATAGACGGGCTCTAGCATACAACTAAGACAGCCACACTCTATCCAATGAGGCCTGTTTCAGTCTTGGGTGGTGGCGGGGCTCTTCTAAGTTTGCAAGTTCCTGACATAGTCTCTCTCAGCCCTATAGCTGTTCCCCATTATGCTAGTCCTATATTCTTTAGAGATCTGTTTGCCTCCTTTAACAAATAACCCCCTCATACCTGTTAAGACTTATTTAGGGACCAGCAGTTAGCATAATGGCTATGTCGCCGAACTCCCATGTAGTCGACCACGGTTCAAATCCTGGACCTGGTAGCTTAAACTCACGCTGGGCGCATGTGCATACGTGCCCAAGATCCTAAGAGGAGAATGGAGGAGAAGGGATTGTGGTGTGGCCATCCCCCTGGGGGTGACTTGTCACTTTCTGTCTCTCTGGTGAGCACATGCAGCAAAAACCTCTCAAAAACAAAAACAAAAGAAAAACAAAAGACTTATCTAAGCTTTTCTTGTTCACATTACTAGTGTGGCTTCTGTTTCCTGCCTGGACACCTGTAGATGTGACTCTGTCTGAGGAGATAGCACATATGGGGCTGAGAAAGAGCCAGGACCAAAGATCCATTCACAGTAAATACTAACATAATAAATACCACTGTGTGTGTAGCTGCTCTGTGCCAGCACTGTACTGAAGTAGCATTATCTTGGGGGTGGGTTAAACCAGGCAGCTCAGTTTTTTGTCCAAGGTCCTGCTAGAAAAAAGCACTAGGTCAATTTGGCTATTACTTGCAGCTGAAGGCATTTTAACTGATACAATCATTTTTTTTTTTAAGAGAGAGATTTTTGATATAGGGCATGTTCGCTTGTTGGAGAGACAGAGACAGAAAGCAAGAAATCACCCCCCCAGGGGGGATGGTCACATTACAATCCCTTCTCCTCCATTCCCCTTTTGGGATTTTGGACACGTATGCACACACGCACATGCACCCAGTGTGAGTTTTAAGCTGCCGGGTCCAGGACTTGAACTGTGGTCTACTACATGAAAGTCCAGTAATGTAACCACTATGCCATCTGCTGGTCCCAATATAGTCATATTAAGGAAAGGATATGAAGTGATGATCTGCAGGTAGGACTAGGTAAGTTTTTCCTAAATCAAGAAAGACACAGGGGAATCCTTAAGGTGCTTATCATTTTTATGGGATCTTGTCCTAAAGGACATTAGACAAAAGCACAAGTCTGCTTGGATACTTTCTGACCTTCAATGCACTGGAAAGGCTCTTTCCTGGCATGTACTCTCTGATGTCTAATGAGCTCTGAGCTCCCTCTGTAAGCTTTCCCGCATTCTTGACATAGAAATGGTTTCTCTCCACTGTGAATTCTCAGACGCTGACTCAGATATGAGCTTTGACTGAAGGCCTTCCCACACTCATTACACTCATAGGGCTTCTCTCCTGAATGAATTCTCTGAGGTTGAACAAGATGAGCACCCCACCGGAAGGCCTTCCCACATTCACTACATTCATAGGGTTTCTCTCCTGTATGAATTCTCTGATGCTGAATGAGGTTGGAGCTCTGATGGAAAGTTTTCCCACAGTCACTACACTTGTAAGGTTTCTCTCCAGAATGAATTCTTCGGTGAATTACGAGGTGTGAGTTATAAATGAAGGCTTTACCACATTTGCTACATTCATGGTCTTTCTTCCCTGTGGGAGTTTTCTTAAGGCTGACAACCATCTGCCTGAAACTTTTCTCCTGGGCAGGGGAATGTCTCAGTCTCTCTGCTTTGGTATTTAACTGCTGCTGTTCCAAGGTGCTCTCAACTTCAGAGGTAGTTTCAAAGGTAGAGGTGTTGGTGGCAAGTCTTTCTGAGAATACCCTTGATTCCACTTTAGTAACGGGTGGTTGTGGCAATGATTCTTGATCCTTGGGTCCTGGGCCTTCTTCTGCAACCACTGATGGAAAATGTAAATATACCTGTTCTAGATGTATGGAAAAATGATACTCAGATTAGGATTTACATCTCTGGAATGAAAATAAAAGCTTAAAAAATAATCATTATATATATATTACAAAGACTGAAAGGATATTTAGTTAGATCTAATAGTACTTCAAAATGTTTGTGGAAAAATGGAATTAAAGTACAAGTTTATTTTGATACAAAAATGTTTTTGAAATCCATGCATAATTTTTTCATAATACACACTGTCTATGGATTTTCTGAAGACCCCCTTGTATTACCAATGGCTATCTCTTGGTGATAGGTTTGTGCAAAGTAGAGGGTTTTTTCTTTTGTCTTTTTCCCTACTTATCTGTTTTCCTAATTTTTCCTTAATGGTACACTAAAGAAGTGTTATTCGAAAATTCAAGTAAGTTTCAAAGCAGTCTTTTTCAGATATACTCTTATTTTTTAAAGAATAAGTTTATTATTATTATTATTATTATTATTTTGGAGAGGTTTTTGCTATAGGGCACATGCACTTGCCAGAAAGACAGAGAGAGACAGAAAGCAAGAAATCACCCTCCAGGGGGGATGGCCATACTGCAGTCCCTTCTCCTCTATTCTCCTCTTGTGATCCTGGGCACGCATGCACACGTGCCTGGCATGAGTTTAAGTCACTGGGTATGGGACTCGAACAGCGGTAGACTACATGGGAGTCCAACGATGTAGCCATTATGTTATCTGCTGATCCCTCTAATTAATTTATTTTTAAAATCTGACCAGAGAGAGAATGAAAAGGAAAGCGAGAAAGCAAGCCGACCTGTTCAGGATGTGAACGATGGTCAGCCATGTGGGAGTCCAGTGCCCTTAATCACCACCCCACCTCTTAAAAAATAGAAGAGAGATGGGACCAGCAGGTGGCATGGTGGCTAAGGCACTGGACACTCCCACATGGCTGACCATGGTTTGAGTCCCAGACCTGGTGGCTTGCTTTCTAACTTTCTCTCTGTCTCTCTCTGGTCAAATTAAAATAAATGAATGAATAAATAAAATTAAATAAATAAAAGAGAGAGAAAAGGAATTGGGAAGAGGTCAACTCAGTGAAGGGAAAAAGAAGATTAGGGGAAAGAAATGTTCCTAAAGGCAGAAAGACTATCCATCTTGGCTCTGTAAAACCTTCACCTCTTTCCATTCATTTTCCCTCCCTGTAAATCTGCATCAACTAAAGAGGACCCTAATGCCACAGCCTCTATTTTTAACAGGGTGGATTGCCAGCTCCCTGCCACCTATCTGCTTGGTGCTCTCTGCCTTTTCCTTTGACCTTCTCCTGAAAAAAAGAAAGAACAAAGTGCTTTGCATTTTTGTTTTTAAGTGTCTGTAAAACTATTTGTCGTCTAAGGAAAACAAGAAGTGATCAAGGGCTGGCTCTGTGGTGCAGTGGTAATGCGCTGCTCAAGAGTACTTGGATCCAGGAGCCACACGGTGGTACAGTGGCGGAGCACGACACTCTGAGGCAGACCCACACGGGAAGGTCTAGGTTCGTCTGGAGGCCTCCTTGAGTACATCAGGCACATCTGCCCACCCGCAGTCCAGGCTGGCTGGGGCTGGGGGTGGATTGCAGTACCAGAGCCCTGTGGGGGTGCTATCTCTCTCTCTTACTCATGGAGGACTAGGGGAAGCAACATGACCAGACCCTGTGGAAGGTGCTCATCTCTCATTCTCAAGTGTACACACATAGGCTCTATCATAAATAAGCAACTGCGTTAAGATAACTCAAGATCAGGACCAGCAGTTAGTGTAATGGCTATGTTGCCGAACTCCCATGTAGCTGACCGCGGTTCAAGTCCTGGACCCAGTGGCTTAAACTCACGCTGGGCGCGTGTGTGCGTGTGCCCAAGATCCCGAGAGGAGAATGGAGAAGGGATTGCGGCATGGCCATCCCCCCTGGGAGGTGATTTCTCACTCTCTGTCTCTCTGTCTCTCTCTGTCTGTCTGGTAAGCGCACGCACCCTATAGCAAAAAACAAAACAAAACAAAACAAAACAAAAAACTCTCAAAAAAAAGCTACTATGTAGCATTATCTTTTAAAAAAGATAACTTGAGATGATTAGATTTAATTGTGTTGTTGTTGTTCAGGTTAAATCCTTTGGTTAAATAATTCTGAAATATTGCACCAGACAGGTGGCATGATGGTTAAAGCAGTTGGATCCCACATGGCCAACTGTATGGTTTGACTCCTGGACCCAGTGGCTTGAAAAATGCCCCAGGCATGTGTGCATGTGTGCCCAAAATCCCAAGGGGAGAATGGAGGAAATGGGATTATAGTGTGGCCATCCCCCCAAGGGGAGTGCTTTTTCATTCACTCACTCTCTGTGTCTCTCTAGTGAGCACAGGTGCCCTACAGCAAATTAAAAAAAAAAGAAAACCTGAAATATGATTGCTATTTAAAAGGTCACAAAATGGGACCAGCAGTTGATGTAATGGCTATGTTGCTGGACTCCTATGTAGTCGACCACGGTTTGAGTCCCGGACCCAGTGGCTTAAACTCATGCCAGGTGCATGTGCATGCGTGTGTGCCCAAGATCCCGAGAGGAGAATGGAGAAAAAAGGACTGTGGTGTGGCCATCCCCCCTGGGGGGTGATTTCTTGCTTTCTGTCTGTCTCTCTCTTTCTGTCTCTCTGGTGAGCGCATGCACCCTATAGCAAAAACGTCTCAAAAAATAAATAAATAAAAGGTCACACAACAATTAGCTTTTTTTTTCTTTTTGGAAAGGTTTTTGCTATAGGGTGCATGTGCTTGCCAGAAAGACAGAGACAGAGAGACAGAAAGTGACAAATCACCCCCAAGGGGGGATGGCCATGCCACAATCCCTTCTTCATTCTCCTCTCGGGATCTTGGGCATGTATGCACATGCGCCCGGTGTGAGTTTAAGCCACCGGATCCAGGACTCGAACCACGATCGTCTACATGGGAGTTCAGCGACATAGCCTTTACACTAACTGCTGGTGCCTAGCTTCTTTTTTTTAAAGAAAGAATATTTAAGTTTTTTTTTAAAAGAATTATTTATTTAACTTTATTTATTTATTTTTTAAATTTGACCAGAGAGGGACAGAGTGAGAGAGAGAAAGTGAGAAAGTAAGCCACCAGGTCTGGGACTCAAACTGTGGTTGACCATGTGGGAGAGTAGTGCCCTTAACCACCATGCTACCTGCTGGCCCCCAGTTAGCTGCTTCTTTATTTATTTATTTATTTATTTCAGTTGAAATTTTTGCTATAGGGTGCATGCGTCTGTAAGAGAGACAGAGAGACAAAAAGCAAGAAATCACCCCCTGGGGGGGATGGCCACACTGAAATCCCTTCTCTCCATTCTCTTCTCAGGATTTTGTCATGCATGCACATATGCCTGGCGTGTTCCAAGCTGCTGGGTCTGAAACTCAAACTGTGGTTAGCCATGTGGGAGTCCAGTCATAACCATTATGCCATCTGCTGGTCCTGCGGTGAGCTTCTTTTGAAAAGTAAATTAATCAAGTTGATAAATGAACAGAAGCTTACGAAACAGAAGTAAAAGAGGTAAGAAAACATCTGGGAAAAAGGCAAGGAGGAAAAGAGAGCTGGGAGGTAAATCCATACTTCTGGACTAGAGTTAAGATTCATCTCCACGAGAGAGTAGGAGAAGGTCTGTGGGCGTGTATGCAAGACAAGATGCAAGTTTCTGCATTAAATCTCAAGAGGTGAAGGTAAATGCAGACATAAGAGAGTTTCAAACAGAGCTATTCTGATAGGAAAGAGGTAGTAAATAAATTTGGTATAGGTTGTGTCTCCCATAGGAGACAGCTTAAAGAAATGTGTTCTGGGCCAGCTTTGTGGTCGATGATTTAGCTACCTGGATGCCACGGATGACCATGTGGTTTGAGTCCTGGACCTGCCACCTCAAGACACATGCAGGAAACATGTGCGTGCCCAAAATCCTGAAAGGAGGGATGGAGGAGGGGGGATGTGGTAGGAACATTCCCCATGGGGAAGGGGCTTGCTGTTCCTTTCTGTCTCTCTCTGGCAAGTACACTTGTCCCCTAGCCAAAAAAAAAAGTATTTTGGGGTGGACCCTGTAGCCTAGTGGTTAATCGGGCCAGATCCCATATGACTGACTAAATCCTTGGTCCTGGTGGTTTGAAAAATACACCAAGCATGGGCGCATGTCCGTCCAAGCGACATAACCATTATGCTAACTGCTGGTCAGGATGGTTCTGTGAGTTTTTAATGTTTACTTTATCTCTTTTTCTCTGTTTCTTGCAAGGGATGCAGCCCCTGGCAATGCTTTGGGGGACACAGAGGTTGAAAGAAAAAGATCTAAAGGCTGGCCTCAAGTTTAGGGCAGAGCTATTATGGACTAAGAGTTAAGAGTAGTAGAGATGATGAAGCAGTAAATAAATGAAATGTTTCCTGGTCCTGCTTCAGGGCTCTCTAAAGCTAAGGGATGATGGTGGGGATTTTTATTTTTTTCGGAGAGGTTTTTGCTATAGGGAGCGTGCACTCCCCAGAAAGACAGAGAGATAGAAAGAGAGAAATCACCCCCCAGGGGGGATGGCCATGCCACAATTCCTTCTCCTCCATTCTCCTCTTGGGATCTTGGGCACACATGCACATGCACCCGGTGTGAATTTAAGCCACTGGGTCTGGGACTCGAACCGCAGTCAGCTACATGGGAATTCAGTGACACAGCCATTACACTAACTGCTGGTTCCAAAGGTGGGATTTATATCTATCTATCTATCATATATATATATATATATATATAGTAGTCTGCAAACTTTCCAGAACCAGATATTGGCCTTGTGAAATACAATCCTCTCACAGACCAGGGGGTGGGGGAGTTGGGTAGGCAGTGGTGGTACCAGGATGACCCAAGCTCACCACATCCACCATGGACCCATTTCCACCACTACCACATTACAACTGCAATATACAATGGAATGACTCAACAATAGGGTTCCCATTCCCATGAGAATCCAGTACCCCAGCTGATCTGGCAGGAGGCGGAGCCTAGGTGGCAATGTGAGTGATGGGGAGTGGCTGCAAACACAAAATCTTGCTTGCTCACCCACCGCCCACATCTCATTGTGTGGCCTGGCCTCCCAGCAGGCCCTGGACCAACACGGTATCATTTATGTATTATTTAATCCTCAGAGTGACTTTATAAAATAGATTATTAAAAAATATTTTAATTGTATTTATTCATCCATTTATTTTCATTTGACCAGAGAGAGAGAGAGAGAGAAAGTGAGAAAGCAAGCCACCAGGTCTGGGACTTGAACCATGGTCAGCCATGTGGGAGTGTCCAGCACCTTAACCACCATGCCACCTGCTGGTTCCAAGATAGATTAATTTTTATTCCTAAATTAATTTTATTCCTAAATGGGTGATAAAACAGGCCAAGTCTGTCCCTGAGCGGTCAGGATCGCAAGGCCATGATGATGACAGCTAACGGCTGAGTACCTGTTATGTGCCCTTTGTACTCCCTCATCCTCCTCTCCCTCCCCACAGAATTCTGCTCCTCACCACTCTCCGGGAAAGGTTGGGTCTCCTGAGATTCCTTGAGCTGGGTCTCGTTAGGCTGGAGCTGGGTGCTTGGTGCCTCCTGGGCTGCTCCCAGAGGTGCCTTCTGCCATAGCTCTTCCTGTGCAGGTCCATGTGCAGAGTCTGGAACCTGGAGGTGATCAGGCACCACTTGTGTTATATGAGACCAAAGCTTCCAAGGAGACTTTAGAGAGCCTCCTCAGAATCAGCACAAGGGAAGAAAGAGAAACTTTAGTCTTTTTTGTCATTCAGGGCTTGAGGGCAGAAACAGGACAGAAACACAGACTAACTACTCTATCTGGCCCAAGAGAGGTGTGAGCTTGGAAGCAGCTACCCCTGTCCAGCCTGAAGGTCATGTTCTGGCTCCCACAACAGATCAACTTCCCCTTCCCACCTGCAGTCCTGGATCAAGTCCTTTCTCTAAATCCTCCAGCACAGTCACAGCCTCCTCTCCACTCTGAGAGTGATGTCCCCGTACCCAGCACTGCAGCTTCTCAGGCAGGATGGTCAAGAATTGTTCCAGCACCAAGAACTCCATGATCTGCTCCTTGGTGTGTCTCTCTGGCCTCAGCCACTCACAGCAGAGCACCCGTAGTCGCTTCAGGGCCTCCCGGGGATCAGGAGTCTCCTGGTAGCAGAGTTGCCTGAAGTGCTGGTGGAAGATCTCTTGACTGGCAGAGTAGGTCCCAGGTAGCTTGGTCTCACACTCCCAAGACTGTTCCTCTTCCTTTGGCTCCACTGTCAAAATCTTCTCTTGTTCCAGTGTACCCTGAGTTTTACCTGCTGTTAGTGATTCAGCCATTCTAGCCTGGACTAGCTCTGTAGAAGGCTGGAATCTTTCAGGGCCACCCTGGAATATAAGAAATCATTCTTCTTTTTTCTCATTCATTAAACACATACACAGCATCTACAAGGAGCCAAACTTATACTACAAATAAAGGGTATACAATATCCTTTATTCCCTCCTTCTCTGTCCCTCTCTAGAATCCTGCTCCAACAAGTTCCTGTCTTTGAGAAACATGCAACCTGATAGATGGACATGTAGTTTTCCACAATATAATTAGATAAATACCATAACTCAGGATGGGGTGGGGGGCAGGAAAAAATGTTCTGGGGGTCCAAGGGAAGAAACAACTTCTGAGAAGAAATATATTTGAAGCAAAACCATTTCTTAGATTCAGAGCCCAGAGTTGGGCAGTTGTCAGTGTGAGGTGGCAGTGTTGGGGAATCACTCTCCTTCCAGATGGCCACTCTTGCCTTTCTCAAAATTCTAAAGTATTGGCTACGAAAGAAAATGTAAATCCCTTCTAAAGGGTTAGAGCATACTCAAACGTTTGCCCAGAACTTATTCCAGGGCCCTGTTACGGAGCTATGAGCAAAGCTTGGTTCAGGGAATGATGTCCAGCATCAAGCCCATCTAACAGGGGAGGAGGTGGGAGGCACCCAGAGGCCATTAAAGCAGCACATATTGGGACGGTTGGCCCAAGACAAAGGAGGCACGAAGAAAAAAGCAGAGCAGAGTCTGAGTCTCGGGGTGATGTCCCACGGGGCCAGTCCTTCACCCCAGTTAACTTCTACGCCTGATCTGGGGCAGGTGTCAGCGCCAAAAACCTGGAGAGGGACGGTGGTCCAGGCAAGTGACAACTCCCCACGTCCCACCCTTCACTCTGTCCTTGGGATCTGGAGGTAATAGGGGCACCAGACCTCCGCCCTTCACAGTAAGTGACGTAAGGCAGGCGGCAGAGCGTGGGTGGTGGGAACCAAATTCTTTGCACGCAAACCCGAGGAGATGCCCGAGCACTGAGCCGCGCTGCTCGTCCCAGTAGAAGCCGAAAAGACTCACAGCGCCGGAGGAGGTTCCATCCGGGCACTGCCCCCCACCGCACGCTGCCAGCCCTCGCCCTAGTAGCGGGTCCGCGCCTGCGCAGCCTCGGCCTCCACCTCCCGAAAGGACCCGCGCGCGGGCTCCGGCCTGCAGACTCCGGCGACGAAGCGTGGCGGTCGCTGGGAGCCGCGGGGGCGGGGGCTGTGGCAGCCGGCGCGGCGGGGGGGG